CCTACGTATTCAATATTGTAGCACCAAAAATCCATGCCTTTCACGCATGGGGGACTTTATCTCGATCCCTAATTAGAGATAAGCCTACGCCTAACACGCGTTGCCGGTTAGTCTTTTCCCATGAAAATGACAAAGTCTATGTATTCAAAATCATAGCATCAAGTCTAAGAGGGTTCATTCTCTTAGCACAACGTTACATGTGGAAGGGACTTAGACAATCCACATGCTAGCCCGACTCAAACGGTAGTCGGTAAAGGCTTATCAAATCCGTTGATGGCTGAGGGTTTGCCAAAAATTCTATGCACGTTTGCAAGACCATCAGCTTAATGGATGTGAGCCGAGACTTAAAACAAATGAGCCAAAGATAAGTCTCAAAGACTTAGTCACAAATGCACGGAAGCCACTTCCATGTCTTAAGTCAAAACGTTGAGGTCAGACCCGCGATGCAAAAACTGAACGCCAAGGTCACACCCGTGTTCCAAATTCAACATACAAGGGTGAGACCCGCATATAAAGTTCAAAATGCAGGGTCCACCCCCACATTCCAGGAGCAGGATTATGGCGCATACCTTCACACAGGTCCTACGTGGCAAATCCCTTTAACCAAGATGCCTTCGAAGCGAGTGCAGAGAAAGACGCCTTCACGACAAGGAATCAACAGCTCTAAGATTAGAGTTGAGATCCAAAGTATTCCAAAAATTCATCCTAGTCAACTGCGAACTTTCAAAAACAGATACCGGTGGAGAGGATCCGAGCAGAGGTTGCACGAGTCTAGTAGCACCTACGAGTCTGTAGCACCACAAGGAACACCAGGAAGCAGTTCATATCACTAGTGGAAATAGGGGTTTCCCTGACGGGAACATCGCTGACGGGAAATTCCCGTCAGCGTTGTTTATATCGCTGACGAGAATTCCCGTCGGCGATTTTCCCGTCGGGGATTATTCCTTCCCGTCAGCGATGAAAATATCGCTGACGGGCTGCAAACATCGCTGACGGGAAACCCGTCAGCGATGTTAGCTATATATTCGCTGATCAAAATATCGAAGAGATTTTTTCGGCTGAAACCCTAACTTTTCTTCCCCGCCGCTTGACCTCGACTTCCCCTCTCTCAGCTCAGCCCCGCCGCCGGAGATCACCTCACCGCCACCTCATCGATCACCTCAGCCACTCGCCGCCCACGCCATCACCTTCCCCTCCCGCTCTTCGACTCCACCGCTCGCTGCCCCGATCGACCTCACCGTCGCACCGCCCCCGCGCCGACTCGAACATTAGGTCGCCTGAGCTCTCTCATCTCCTCACCCGTCAGTGTATGATTCCTTTGATTTTGTTTTCATTTTTTTTTCTTTTTTTTTCTGATTTTAGGTTTTACTGTTTTTTCTAATTTGAGAGTTGATTTCTTTGATTGCAGTGAAGGAGGTCCAAGTGAGTGTTACGTTTTGTTGGATTGCATTGCAGGAGATCCAAGCGGTAATTTTTGGTCATTGTCGCAATTTAGTGTATAGAAATTATACATAATTAGTTATAAAACGATCAAGCTGGCTGATATCTATAAGTTTACGTTTTGTTGGATTGCATTGTTGTCACAACTTGATGTTTTAATTTTGAAATAATAGAGGTTATAAGTTTATCATGTAAACCTTTGCTTGAAGTCAACTTGTTTCACGGTGCAAATTTAGTTCCTCTAATTTAATTTACGAATGAATGTCTTTTGGTTAATTTATTCTCTTGTGGTAATTACAAATTTTATTGTGTTATATATCATGATTTATGAATCGAAAGTCGTTACCCTTAGTTTCCCGTCTAATAACGTTGGATGTGAATCTCTTCTTATATAAACTCACGCAATTCTAGTTGGATGTGAAAATACTTTTTACATCTAAAGAGAATAACGTGATTTATGTTAGGAGCATGATATACATGCAATAATTATTAGATCTGTCCGGGGAGGAGTCCCCTTCTCGTACAGGTTAGGAATACAGTAGTGTATCATCTATCTTTGTATACTTTATGCATTTTTATTCCCTATAAATTTCGATAACACGTACCGCATTGTTCTCCGTGTATAATAAGCGTATGTTGTTTTGCGTATCGATCTATAATCGATCTATTATCGATGATTGATACGCATTATAACATCCGCACAGTGTACTCGGAGAACTGCGGGTAGGTGCTGCCAAAATTTTTAAGAAATAAAAACGCTTAAAGTATATAAAGGTAGTTGTAAACACTACTATATTCCTAATAGGATAGGTCCATTTCCTATGACAGCCGTTAAATTGTCTTATTTCAAATATGAGCGTTAGATTTTACTCCCACATAATTTATGTTCTGGTAATTTTCCCTCTGAGATTATTAAATTAAAATTTCCTTGATGTCGTGAAGAAAGTTAATATCACGCAACCTTTAATTTGATGCGTTACTAATAAAAATTCACATTAGCTAATTATGCTTAATATAATACAGATCTATGAGGATAGTTCCGGACAAATCATGGATCGATATTCCTCGTATTGATAGATGGAGAGATAGTCGATATAAAGATGGAATAAATCAATTCATACAGTATGCCTTGGCAGACCCACGAAAGTTAAATAGGGATGTCGTGTATTGTCCCTGCTGTTGGTGTAAAAATAGGGCGTTGGTGGATAAAAGTGATTTACAGAAACACTTAATATCAGGATTCCATGAGGAGTACAAATATTGGACGTTTCATGGGGAAGGATGTCTTGAAGAAATGGAACTGATAGCGGATATCGGTACTTCCTGTGGGAGAATAGATGATACGAGAATAGATGATACACATACGATGCTCGTGGATATGTTAACAGTTCCTAATATAGATCAATCTGATGTTGCCGAGGATGCTGACGAGTCAGGAAATGCTGGAGGCGTGACTGATCATGAGGAGCTGGCGCAGATAATGAAATTAATAGACGATAATGAAAACGATTTGTACGAGGGTTGCACCGAGTTCACCAGGTTATCATTTATGCTGCGTCTTTTGCGTATAAAGTCTCTTAGTGGAATGACAGATAAATATTTTAATATGTTGCTTGTGTTGCTGAGAAAAGTCATTCCAAATAGAAAAGAGAGCATACCAGAAAATTATGATAACGCAAAGAAGATTGTTTCCGTTATAGGACTTGATTACAATAAAATCGACGCATGCCCTAATGATTGTATCCTCTACTATAAGGATAACAAAGATCTTCAGGAGTGTCCAATTTGTGGAGTATCACGGTGGGTACAACGCAAAAATTATTCAACACATGGGACAACAAGGTCTATGCTTAAGCAAAAGAAGATTCCAGCAAAGGTCCTGCGTCATTTTCCCTTAATACCAAGGCTAAAACGGTTGTATATGAATAAAGACACTGCTAAGCAAATGAGGTGGCACATGGAAGAACGTACTGATGATGGTAAAATCAGACATCCGGCTGATGCAGAGGCGTGGAAGCATATGGATAGAACTTTTCCTTGGTTTGCGAATGAGTGCAGGAATGTTAGACTAGGTTTGTCTAGCGACGGATTCAATCCATTTGGGATAATGAGTTCTGGTTGGTCTACATGGCCTGTTGTATTAACGCCTTACAACTTACCACCTTGGCTTTGCATGAAACAACCGTATATGATACTTTCATTATTGATACCAGGCAAGCATGCACCAGGCAATGACATAGATGTGTTTTTAGAACCGCTAATTGATGAGTTAAAACAACTCTGGACTGAAGGGGTTATGACTTATGATACTCATGCAAAGCAGTCTTTCAGACTACGTGCTATTTTACTATGGACAATTAATGATTTTCCAGCCTATGCGAATCTTTCAGGTTGGTCTACAAAGGGAACATATGCATGTCCAGTGTGTGGTCCAGAATTCAAAGGTCTTTATCTGCAGCACAGTCGAAAGTTTTGTTATTGGTTTAATAGAAGGTGGTTGAACATAAAACACAGGTACAGAACCAAAAAATGGAGCAAGTTTTTTGATGATACTGTTGAGAAGAGAGATGCTCCGCGTCCATTACGTGGGGATCAGATTGTACATTTGCTTGAGAGGTTCCCTGCCGTCAGGTTTGGAAAGAAGCGCTATTCGAAAGAAGATTTACTTGGAGTAAGGAACTTGCGTATTAACAAAAGGATACCAAAACGAAAGAGACGAGCACAAGTGGTGACTGATGGGGCTGAAGTCGTAAAATTACCTTCAGGATGGACAAAATTCAGCATTTTTTTTCAACTCCCCTATTGGAAAGAGCTAAAAATACGTCACAACTTGGTCGTTATGCACATTGAAAAAAATATTTGTGATAATCTTTTGTCCACACTGTTGCAAGATGCTAATAAATCAAAGGATGATCTACGAGCTCGTCGAGATCTAACTGCATTGAACATTAGAGAGGAACTGCAGCCAAAAAATGTCGGAAATGACCGATTAGAGTTGCCTGCGTCTCGTATTATAATGTCGAAAGTTGAGATGCAAACATTTTGTCAAGTCCTCAAATCAATAAAGTTACCAGATGGTTACTCCGCAAACATATCGAACTATGTCCAGGTGCAAGAAAGGAAAATATTAGGGCTTAAAACTCATGATTATCACGTGCTTCTTCATCAATTGCTACCTGTGGCACTACGCAGTACTATGCAGAATAAAAAACAGTGAAGATTATTATTGATTTTTGTGGATTTTTCAGAAAGCTTTGTTCTAAAGTTATAGACGCCCGTGACTTTGAGAAACTTGGTGAAAATATTTCTGAAACAATGTGTGAAATGGAGATGCTCTTTCCTCCATCTTTTTTCATAATAATGGTTCATCTTACACATCATCTCGCAGAGGAGGCTGCAATAGCAGGACCAGTCCATTATCGTTGGATGTATCCAATAGAGAGGTTAGTATTTAGAAAAATTTAATCGTTACATATCAATATTTATATCTATTAAATGTAAATTTCTTTACATCTATATCTGATTAATATTCCTTTTTTAGATATTTGGGTTCAATGAAGCGTCAATTGCGTAACAGAGCTCGCCCAGAAGGTTCAATAGCTGAAAGTTACGTGAGAAGCGAGTGTCTCTTATTTGCCTCTCGTTATATGAGAGGGGAACAAACTGAACTTCAAGCACCCGTTGATAATAAGGAGTACACAGTTCTCTATCCTCGCGGGCTGAACAAAAATTATTCTAACATATTATTAGATCAAGCGCATGCATATGTTATAAATAATCTTGAAATCTTCTCGGAGTACCGGAGGTAAAATATCTAAAAAGAATTTTTAATACCATTTACTCTTTAATTTCTATTTTGACAAACTTTTTATTTTGACAATAATAATTAAATTTTTGCACATTAATAGGCAACATCAGGAAAAACTTAAGAATGAAGTTACCGGTAGTACAGCTGTACATGACATTAAAGAAAGGCATATGAAGGAATTCCCTGCTTGGTTGAATAGTGAAGTAAGTATTGTTAAATTTAGCGATATTTGTATTTCATTGATAAAAAACTTAGAAATGTCTTGATTTAATAGTTTGCTTATTTTTGTATATATTTAGATCCAGGAACAACTTGTCCTTAATAATCAAATATCAGAAGAAGTGAAGGTTCACGCAAAGCGGCCTTACTATGCTGTAATTCAATATGGTGGGTATCGTGTTAACGGTTATAAATTTCACACAATGGAGGTTGATGATACGAAGGTCACCCAGAATAGTGGTGTCATGGCTACCTTCTCACGGGAATGTTTCTCAAACAGAAGAGATCAGAATCCAGTTGAAAATAATATGACATATTATGGAAGGTTGGAAGATGTGGTGGAGATATTCTACGGCTATGGTGGTCCAAATGAACATAAATACATGATGTTCATGATTCGTTGGTGTTTTACAAAGACTCAAAAGGATCCCTTTGGATTTACAATTGTCAATCTCGATAAAGAAATTGATAGTGATGAAAAATTCATGTTTGCATCTCAGGTGGGACAATGTTTCTATGTGAAAGATCCTACAGTTAAAGACGAGTGGGTTGTCTTGTACAAGGATTCTAGGGCTTATATTCAACCTTCCACGAATGAAGATGATGACGAGAGCTATATAAACAACTTCAATGAGCCAAATACAGCGATCGATGAATTCTCGTACCCTCAAAACGTAGTGTTTGAAACGGATGCTCCAACAACTCGGACAGACATTCCAAATATTATCACAGACATTAATAGGAGCTAAACAGCAATTATTTGTAATCGGGTCTTCATGTAACTTTTTTTAGTTTGCAAATAGTTGGTTATTTACTTAAGTTCACCTTTTATGATAACTCTAAATAAATTTTTTAAGAAATGATTTTCAAAGTAGTATACTTTATTTAAGCCTTAACTTGGATTTTTATTTAAAATAATGAAATTTTTGCATGCTTAACTTAGAGTTGAAAATATTTTTTTTCAAGTTATCTTGATTTATACATTTTTTTTTAAAGACTATATATACTTACACATATATATATTAAAAAAAAACTAACCTTATAAAAGAAGAGTGCGAAAAATGGGCACAAAAAAAAACTCTTAAATTCAAGGTGATTCTATCTTATAAAGCCTAAGTTGACTGAGCAATTAAGCCCAAGGAGTATCTCTATACTTAATGACCTAAGCCCAATTGGGTTGGGATTCATTGGCCCAAAACTCGTTAAATGGTCACTTAGAAAGCCCGTTAAAATAGAAAACAATCACCAAGAATTAGAGAGTGAAAAAAATATACATATATATAACACTAACAATTGTTTTTATATATTGTTGTTTTGTATATATGGTCTTGAAAAACAATTTTTGATCAAGAGACTTGAAAGTTATTTAAAACAAAGAGTTGGCATGTTCTTTTCAAAACTTTTTAATTAAATTTCTAAGATTTGACTTGGTTTTGTATTGCTATAATGAAAAAGATTTTCTAGGGGATTTACATTGGAGTTATATATAAAAACGTTTTCTTGATTATTAACTAGCTTCAATTAGAATGTTTAAATATATCAAGGAAAATCTGTTATTTACTGACTTATTTAACTTGGCAAGTTGACCGAATTTTGTGGGTATATTCACTGCAAACCCTCACGAGACTACAACTCGTCCACTAGGGTAACCTAGGGGTTTAAAGGCTTGTTGTATGCGCTAAATACAACCGCGATTCCTGCGAAAGTGAGTTAGGATTTTCTTTTTCTTTCTTTGCTAGAGGACTAGCAAGAGTTTAGGTATAGGGGTATTTGATAATCATATTTTATTACAATTTTTATACCCTCATTATCTATTTTATATGAATAAATATACCACTAATAATTGCTTTTATCTGTTAATTGCAGGTTAATGATGAATAAATCTCAAACTCCAATATCTCAACAAAAACCCCTTGATTTAATGAAGAAATGAAGCCCATGAAGCCAAAGGAATTCTTTCAAATAATTCAAAGCCCAATGGAAAATCAAGAGAAAATGCCAAGCCCAAAAGTCCAAGCCAAAGCCCAAGACACAAGCCCAAAAGCAAAATACAAGAGTTCTGCGGACAGCAACAGGAGAAGAGCAGGCATCGATGCCTGCATCGATGGGGGCATCGATGCCCGCATCGATGCCTGTATCGATGCCCGCATCGATACCCCTATCGATGCGGGTATCGATACGGACGTCCAGGCAGTTACAATCCAATGGCTGATTTTTGTTGGTTTTGGATAAGATTTGAATCCAATGGCTCTCATTCACTGATGTTTACTATAAATAGGGGTAGAGAGTGAGGGGTTAGAGGTGTGAAAATTTTGTAAACTCCTTTTGGAGAGGAGGGCTACTCTTAATTGAGAAGGCCTTCCAAAAATTGTAACTTTAGTTGCAATTAATAAAAATAATTTTTTCCTCTTTAAATTTGTTCTTTCTCCTCTTGTTGAATGATGAGGATGGAGATGAAGAGCAATTTGAAGGTTTGCATTTCTTTTCTCTTTTATTTCTTTTTAGTAATTTCTTTATTATTGCTTATTAGTTAGATTTAAATTCATGCTTGTAGTATAGATTTACTTTCTTGTCTTTTTTATTTTCTTTTTGCACTTTAATTTGTAGAGTAGATTTATTTTTCTTGCATTTAATTTCTGCAATTTATTTTGTAGTTTAGATTTTTATTTTCTTTGTAATTAGATTTATTTCTTGTTCATAGTTTAGATTTTTCTTTTCTTTTTAATTTTGTAATTAGTCTTCTTTTTCTTGTTTTTATTTCTTAAAGATGTGAATTTAATTCTTGTAGGAAGTTTAGAATTATATGAAACTAGTCTAATTTCCTTTATATTGTATGAATTATTCTCTTGCACTTAAAATGTTCATGTTTAGGATAATCAACTAGAGAACTAATCGGTAGAAGAAGAATTTGATAATCTATGCTTATCTTAAATGGTTTGATAGGTTATGCTTATGAATTCTAGGATTATTATCATGTTGTTGTTCTTATCATGAATAGTAATTTTGACTTAGATGATAATTTGATAGGTTACACTTTCCTTAAATGGTTTGATAATCTATGCTTAATAAATCTAAGTTGAAATATGATAAAAAGAGAATAGTTTATATTTTGTAATTGAAATTGGTTAGTGGATTATATTCTAGATTTCTTACTTCTTTTGAATCCTCCATCTTAACTTTCTTTTCATTCTTAGTTTTATTTCTTGATTTTATTAATTCATATTTCTTGCCTTGTGATTTCATTTATTCTTTGATTCTTCCTTCTCTCTTCTAAAATTCAATTTATTATCTTTTGCATATATTCATAACAATCACTCAACAAAATCACACTTATTCTTTATTCCTAATTGTCATGCACAAAACATAAGAACCATTTCTAATAATCTCTTAAAATCAACTTCCTCGTGGGATCGATATTTTTTATACTATAACTTGATAAATTGTGCACTTGTAATTTTGGTACATAATTATGCCGCATCAAGTTTTTGGCGCCGTTGCCGGGGATTGATATTTTTTATACTATAACTTGATATTATAGTATTTCTAATAAAAAATTTTGTTTATTTTGGTACATAATTATGCACATAAAATCTTGGATTGAAGATCAAGAATTTGGAGCATTGCTTTCGGGTAAGTCTTCTTTCTAGTTTTCAATTCCATCCTCTAGTACTATCCTTACCTGGCTAACTACCTGGGTAAAACTTTGATCATTTCACTCTAGGAATTTTTGGTTAGGAGCTGGTCTAGTGGAGTTAGGCTAAACCCTAGAGTTAGAGTTGATTGAAAAGTGATTGCCTTGATTTGTTTTAGTTAGGATTTTTCTTTTTCTTTATCTTCTCATAAAAAAAACTAATTTTCTTTCTTTCCTTCCTTTAAAATTTTTTTTTAATTTTCTTTCTTTCCTTAAAAAGAAAAAAAACTAATTTTCTTTCTTTCCAAAAAAAAAAAAAAAAAAATTGTTTTGGTGTATGCAAATTTGGGTTCGGGATAATTTTCATCGCTTAATCCGTGTTGAACCAATCCAAGAAATGGCAAATCAACCAGTTCTTCAGGATATGTGTTACCCCACCAGAAATGCAATTCCATCTTGCATAAGACTCCCCGAAGTAAATGGAGCAAATTTCGAGCTTAGACCGCATTTCATTAACATGCTTCCCAAATTCCTAGGTAATGAAACAGAAGATGCATATATATTTATCTCAGAATTTGAGGAAGTATGTATTATGATAAAAATGAGAGAATTAACCGAAGATGCGATTAAGCTTAGATTTATTCCATTTGCTCTAAAGGACAAAGCTAAAAAATGGCTGTATAGCTTACCGACAAATTCCATCTCAACTTGGGAGGAATTTGTCACCGTTTTTCTCAAGAAATTTTTCCCTATTCACAAAACGGTAAAGCTTAGGAACAGCATTCAGAATTTCAAAATTGTCCCGGGAGAGCCATTCTGGAAATATTTTGACCGATTCAAAGATCTTTTAATCCAATGTCCTCATCATAGTCTAGAAAAATGGCGATTGTGCCAAGTCATATATGAAGGATTGGACTATTCTTCAAAAACATCTTTAGAATCGATGTGTCAGGGAGATTTTATGAGAAAAAACGCCGATGAAGCTTGGGAATTCCTAGAGAGTCTATCCGAGAAAACAATGCAGTGGGAAAACTGTGATGACAGGGTTTCATCTGTTTCCCAATCTAAGTCTAGTGGTCTTTCCCTGGAGTCAAACATTGCATCTGAAGCGAAGATGGCGACGATTCTGCGGAGGTTAGAAGCCTTAGAAGTTAAGGAACGAGCTCCGGCTCAAATCAATCATATTTCTGCCCCGGGATGTCATAACTGTCAGTCTCCTACCCACGTTTCAGAGGAATGTCCTCTTCTAGGAAACAACCATGCTTTAGAACAGATGAACGCTGCATTCCAGCGCCCTAGAAATGATCCATTTTCTCCAACCTACAATCCAGGTTGGAGAAATCATCCCAATTTTGCTTGGAACCAAGGAAATTCTCATGGAAACCAAAACTTTATTCCCGCGTCAAACCAACAATTCCCTAGGGGAAACACTGTCCCATTCAACGCACCGAACAATTTTTCTAACCCACCTTTTCCAAACCAACATCCTCATCCTCACCAGCCTACAAATCAATCAAATTCCGATCATGACAAACGTTTGAGTGTCTTAGAAAAGGGTTTAGAAGCTATGATCAAAGCTTCTACACAAACTACCAACATGTTGACCCAATCATCCACCACTCTAAATTCATTCATGCAAACCACCGGCCAAGTGCTCAACTCGAACACACAAGCCATAGCCCGGTTAGAAACCCAACTTGGGCAATTAGCCGCTGCCGTGAGTGAGAGAGAAAAAGGAAAATTTCCAAGTCAACCTGTTGCAAACCCTAAAGACACTGGATCCAGTTCCAACAACCCAGCTCAACTGAATGCAATTCACACTCTGAGATCAGGAAAACAAATAGACAATCAGGTTAGAATGCCACCGGATCAAACCCCTTCTCCCATTCAAAACACTCCTTCCGATGAAGCAATTCCTTCCGATGACCAAAATGCTGAACTTGAGATTGAGCCTGATCTAGATAGGTATAGGCCCGTTGCCCCCTTTCCAGATAGACTCAAACCTAGGAAAAACTCCCCGCAGGTTGAGAAAATCCTAGAAACGTTTAAACAGGTCAAGATCAACATCCCTCTCCTAGATGCAATCGAACAAATTCCCTCTTATGCAAAGTTCTTGAAGGACTTATGCACTAAGAAAAGAACCACCAATGTCCCCAAGAAAGTCTTCTTAGCTGCCAACCTCAGTGAAATCTTTTCGAAACCAATGCCATTGAAATACAAGGACCCTGGTTGTCCCACAATTCCATGCGTCATAGGTAACACTCACATTGATAAGGCACTTCTAGACTTGGGAGCCAGCGTCAACCTCCTTCCTTATTCAGTCTATCAACAGCTAGGTGTAGGAGAACTTAAACCGACAAGATGCACTCTACAGTTAGCTGATAGATCTGTAAAAATTCCCAAAGGAGAGGTAGAGGATGTTCTGATCAAAGTTGGAGAGTTCATTTTCCCTGTTGATTTTATTGTCTTGGAAACGCAGCCCGTTTCCAATCTCAAAAGTCAAATCCCCGTCATTCTAGGAAGACCGTTCTTAGCCACCTCAAATGCTTTGATAAACTGTAGAACCGGTCAGATGAAACTATCTTTTGGGAATATGACTGTTGACCTCAATATCTTCAACTTAGGGAGACAGCCTAGTGATCCATCTGATGAACCCATGGAAGTGAATTTCATTCAAGGAATATCCAGTGAACAACAAGAGGGAGAGTGTGAGTCTGATTCAAATGCATCTGATTTAATGATTGAGGAGCTTTCTGATGACGAACTTGAGATAGAACCGCTGGTCAATCATGTTTTTGCTGTTGGCTGGCAACGAGAACCTTTAGAGATAGAACCCCGAGTCCAGCTTCGCCCATCTGTGGAGGAACCCCCTAAGTTAGAGCTCAAACCTCTACCCGAAAATCTAGAGTATGCCTACTTAGGGGAGAACGAGTCTTTACCAGTTATCATTTCTTCTGAGTTGACTACCGGTCAAAAGGAAGCTCTCTTAGCTGTTTTAAGAGAGAATAGGGAAGCCATTGGATGGACCATGGCTGATATCAAAGGGATTAGTCCAACCATTGTTCAACACCGAATCCATTTGATAGATGATGCCAAACCTACTAGAGATGCTCAACGTAGGTTAAACCCAGTGATGAAAGAAGCCGTTAGGAAAGACATTCTGAAATGTCTCGATCATGGGATCATTTATCCCATTTCTGATAGTTCATGGGTGAGTCCAGTCCAAGTTGTTCCAAAGAAATCTGGGATCACCGTGATCCAAAATGAGGCTAATGAGCTGATTCCCACTCGGATCCAAACTGGATGGCGAGTCTGTATTGACTACCGAAAGCTCAACTTAGCCACTAGGAAAGATCACTTCCCTCTTCCTTTCATTGACCAAATGTTAGAGCGTTTAGCAGGACACGAGTTCTACTGTTTCCTGGATGGATATTCAGGTTACAATCAAATCCCTATCGCTCCAGAAGATCAGGAGAAAACCACCTTCACTTGCCCGTATGGAACATTCGCATACCGACGCATGCCTTTTGGCCTGTGCAATGCACCGGCCACATTCCAACGTTGCATGATCAGTATTTTTTCCGACATGGTAGAGCGATTTCTCGAAATTTTCATGGATGACTTTTCCATTTTTGGTGACACATTTTCCCAATGTTTGCATCATCTTAAACTGGTCCTAGAACGGTGTAGGGAGAAAAATCTGACTCTCAATTGGGAGAAATGTCATTTCATGGTCAAACAAGGCATTGTCTTAGGACATGTAGTTTCCAATAGGGGAATCGAAGTGGACAAAGCTAAGGTAGATCTCATTTCCAATCTCCCTCCTCCCAAAACTGTCAAAGATGTCAGATCGTTTCTTGGTCATGCTGGTTTTTACCGACGTTTCATCAAGGATTTCAGCAAAATTGCTAGACCCTTGACCAATCTCTTAGCCAAGGATACATCATTTGTCTTCTCTCCCGACTGCCTCAAAGCTTTTGAATATCTGAAAAAGGAGCTAACCACAGCTCCTATCATTCATGCACCGGACTGGACCTTACCATTCGAACTGATGTGTGATGCATCTGATTCTGCGATTGGAGCTGTTTTAGGACAACGGTTTGATGGAAAACCGCATGTGATCTACTACGCCAGTAGGACTCTGAATGATGCCCAGCAAAACTACTCTGTCACAGAGAAAGAGTTTTTAGCTGTAGTCTTTGCCTTAGAAAAATTCAGGTCCTACCTCATCGGTTCCTTAACCAAAGTTTTCACTGATCATGCCGCACTAAAGTATCTTTTGACCAAAAAGGATGCTAAAGCACGGCTCATTAGATGGATTCTCCTTCTTCAAGAGTTTGACATTCAAATTCTTGACAGAAGGGGAACAGAGAACCCCGTAGCAGATCACCTCTCTCGACTCCCAAATGCACCAACATCAACCGTTCCAATCAATGAACATTTTCCAGATGAACAACTCCTAGAAATCCAATCTGTTCCCTGGTTCGCCGACATTGTGAACTACATAGTCATGAACCAGATCCCTTCTCATTGGTCCAAACAGGATAGATCCCGTTTTCTCTCCCAAGTAAAATACTTTTACTGGGATGATCCATATCTGTTCAAATACTGTCCTGATCAGATCTTTAGGAGGTGTGTTCCCACTGAAGAAACTAGGAGTGTTATATCCTTTTGTCATAAGGAAGCCTGTGGGGGCCACTTTGGCCCGAGAAAAACAGCTGAAAAAGTTCTCCAATCTGGGCTGTATTGGCCCACTCTCTTTAAGGATTCATTCGAGTTTTGCAAAACCTGTAACCGCTGTCAGCTTTTAGGGAAGGTCACTAGGAGAAATATGATGCCTTTACAACCCATCTTATCTGTTGAACTTTTTGATCTGTGGGGTATCGATTTCATGGGACCATTTCCAAATTCCTTTGGAAATGTCTACATTCTAGTAGCCGTTGAATACATGTCAAAATGGGTTGAGGCGGTAGCTTGCAAAACTAATGACAACAAGGTCGTTGTCAAGTTTTTGAAAGAGAACATTTTTGCCCGGTTTGGAGTACCTCGAGCGATCATCAGTGATAACGGTACACATTTCTGTAACCGTTCTTTCGAGGCTTTGATGAGGAAATATTCAATCACACACAAATTGTCAACTCCTTATCACCCCCAAACCAGTGGACAAGTAGAGGTCACAAACAGGCAGATCAAACAAATCTTAGAAAAAACAGTTAATCATAACAGAAAAGATTGGTCTGTAAAATTGTGTGATGCTCTGTGGGCATATAGAACAGCTTTTAAGGCCAATTTAGGGATGTCACCATACAGACTGGTATTCGGGAAAGCTTGTCACCTACCAGTAGAATTGGAACATTGAGCAATGTGGGCAATAAAACAGTTAAATTTTGACTCAGACTCAGCAGGTAAGAACAGATTGCTCCAGGTCGGTTTTTGAAAAAAAGTTTCCGAAACTTCACGGGAGTTGAACTCCCGTGAAGTTTAGCAGCTTAATTAAAAGCTGCTAAACTTCACGGGAGTTCAACTCCCGTGAAGTTTCGGAAACTTTTTTTCAAAAACCGACCTGGTTTCAGCGCTGAGGCTGAAACCAGGTCGGTTTTTACAAATATTTTGAAAATGGGTCGTTTTTTACAAATAAAAAATCAAAAAGGTTGGTTTTGAAAATTTGTCCCCCCAAAAAATCACCGCTTCGTTCCTTTCGTCGATCTCAGAAACCAACTCCCCAAATCGCCGTTTCTTTCCCCCAAATCACCTCTTCGTTCCCTTCTATCTCAGAAACCAACTCCCCAAATTGCTTCGTTTCTCCAAATTGCCGCTTCCTTTCCTTCGATCTTAGAAATTGTGCTCTGCCTCGAGAACCCAGGCGTCGCCGAACGATGATACGCCTATATAGTAAGCGTGAGAGTCATATCACCGCATCCCTTCTTTCCAAAGAAGGCTATTGGCAAAAGTCCTGCCGAAGACTGCTACAGACAGCTGTCGGCGTCACTGGAGGCGAAGGTCGTCGGTGTCACTAGAGGAGAACAGGTTATATGTTTTATATGGTCATTTCTATAATTAGTGACCAAAACTAAGTAAAAAATTTATTATTTAGTTGTTCTTCTTTATTGAGTTGCAGACAGAAATTGGGCTTAATTTACCTTAAGAGATTTTGTGATCATTTTATTTAATCAACATCTCCTTCAACTTTCTTTCGTATGGCCAAAAATATACTGTTGATATTTTCCCTTATTTTATCATCTTGAGACCTAAAATGGAGTATACACTTTATATTTTGCCTGATTTTATCAACTTTATCATTACCTAAAACAATTTGGTTTATCGCTGTGGTCGTGCACTGTCCGCAACTATAATACACCCCTTTATCTTTATGTTGATGGTTGGATATATATGTGGATTTAATTAAATTAATATTATAAACTTGCACAGGAACTCTGAATACAGCAAAATTCTGTGAAACCCCTTGACGCTTCATCTTCCACCTCTTTGTATTCCGGGCAATCAAAGCATACCCATTGACGCTGATCATCTTCCACCTCTTTGTTATATAATCATTTTCAATTTATACGATACTTGAAAACAGAAGAAAAGCCTTCGCTGATCTGTGATTGACACGTCTGTCAACCCTCTCTTTCTCTCTCTCAACGTTCTGTCTTCTTTTATATCCAATTATTCTTTTCTTTTTCTCAGTGACCGCTAGCAATCTATCTTTCACCGAATACCCTTTTTTGAGTCGTCGAGCCTCCGCCGCTTGTGATCCCCTTGCCAATGGCACCGACGCTCCTCTCGCCTGCGATCAGTTTCAAAAAGCAAAAGGGTTTGTGATTTTATCCCTATATAGGTTAAGATTTTAGCAAGATTTTGTCTTTATGTATGTTGTTTTTGTGTTTCATTTAGATTGTTAGCACCAGTTAAAGTTAACAATGGGGACTCGAATTTCTTTGAAAGGTTCAAGTCTTTGCAATGCTAACATTAATGAGGTGAGTTTTTTGTCTACTGATCATATTATAACTTCTTTATGATTTATTGTAGCTTATGAATTGCCAGGAGCTTCATTGTGATATCCTGGAGTTTTTGTCTGCTAATAGGGATTTTATTTTTTATTACTTTTTTTCATTTTGGTTTAAGTAGCAATGGTTAGCACAATGGTGATGATCACATTTTATTACAATTTTATACCCTCATTATCTATTTTATATGAATAAATATACCACTAATAACTATTTTTTATCTTTAATTACAGGTTAATGAAGAATAAATATCAACTTCTCATCTTTGATAATCACATTTTATTATAATTTTTATACCCTCATTATCTATTTTATATGAATAAATATACCACTAATAACTGTTTTTATCTTTAATTACAGGTTAATGAAGAATAAATCTCAACTTCCCATCTCTCAACAAAAACCCATTGATTAAATGAAGAAATGATTCAAGAAGCCAAAGTGAAATTTTCGAATTTGTGAAGGCCCAAAGCAAAAAGATTACACAAGGGAAATGAAGACCGGACTTCAAAACTTAATGGACTCAAGCTGCTACAGTGATTGGGATTTAAATGAAATTTTTCTTCAAATGGCCAGAACTTGCTTTCCTTATGTGCTGCAGCTTTGATTCAATGGGCCGGAATTGGTTTTCACAAGAAAATCACAAATGAAATCTTCATGGCTACATGGGCCGAACTTGTAGACCAGACTTGTGATTTTCTTTTGGAAAATCAACAAATAAAATGGGCCAAAGACTTAGAATGCACCGGACTTGCTTAGTTTTCATTTTGTGAAAATCATATGGAGCTCATTGGGCCGAAAATTGATTGTTGCAAAATTGGATTTTGATTTTCTTTTGAAAATCAAATAAATCAAAGGTGGAGATTGTTGCTTGGGGCTCAAGACAAATCCAATGGCTCATATTCATTGAAGATTACTATAAATAGGGGTAGAGAGTGAGGGGTTAGAGGTGTGAAAATTTTGTAAACTCCTTTTGGAGAGGAGGGCTACTCTTAATTGAGAAGGCCTTCCAAAAATTGTAACTTTAGTTGCAATTAATAAAAATAATTTTTTCCTCTTTAAATTTGTTCTTTCTCCTCTTTGTTGAATGATGAGGATGGAGATGAAGAGCAATTTGAAGGTTTGCATTTCTTTTCTCTTTTATTTCTTTTTAGTAATTTCTTTATTATTGCTTATTAGTTAGATTTAAATTCATGCTTGTAGTGTAGATTTATTTTCTTGTCTTTTTATTTCTTTTTGCACTTTAATTTGTAGAATAGATTTATTTTCTCGCATTTAATTTTTGTAATATATTTTGTAGTGTAGATTTTTATTTTCTTTGTAGTTAGATTTATTTCTTGTTCATAGTTTAGATTTTTCTTTTCTTTTTATTTTTGTAATTAGTTCTTTTTCTTGTTTTTATTTCTTAAAGATGTGAATTTAATTCTTGTAGGAAGTTTAGAATTATATGAAACTAGTCTAATTTCCTTTATATTGTATGAATTATTCTCTTGCACTTAAAATGTTCATGTTTAGGATAATCAACTAGAGAACTAATCGGTAGAAGAAGAATTTGATAATCTATGCTTATCTTAAATGGTTTGATAGGTTATGCTTATGAATTCTAGGATTATTATCATGTTGTTGTTCTTATCATGAATAGTAATTTTAACTTAGATGATAATTTGATAGGTTACACTTTCCTTAAATGGTTTGATAATCTATGCTTAATAAATCTAAGTTGAAATATGATAAAAAGAGAATAGTTTATATTTTGTAATTGAAATTGGTTAGTGGATTATATTCTAGATTTCTTACTTCTTTTGAATCCTCCATCTTAACTTTCTTTTCATTCTTAGTTTTATTTCTTGATTTTATTAATTCATATTTCTTGCCTTGTGATTTCATTTATTCTTTGATTCTTCCTTCTCTCTTCTAAAATTCAATTTATTATCTTTTGCTTGCACATAAATCAAAACAACCACTCATCAAAATCACACTTATTCTTTATTCCTAATTGTCATGCACAAAACATAAGAACCATTTCTAATAATCTCTTAAAATCAACTTCCTCGTGGGATCGATATTTTTTATACTATAACTTGATAAATTGTGCACTTGCAATTTTGGTACATAATTATGCCGCATCACGGGCCCTTACCAGCATGTGCAGAGGGGTACAGACTCAAGCAGATTGAAAAATACATGCTTGCGAAAAAAAGATTGGATGAATGGGCCCCACAGATTGATGAGATTTTGCCTGATGCAAAAAATGAAATCAGACAAATATTTGGTGAGTTTGATCAAAAACTTAATCAATTCCAGAATTTTTCTTCTTCCTTTTTTAGTAAATTCTAAGAGCTTAAAAAAAGTGTTGATTAAATAAATGTGTTGATATATCTATTATTTCTTTTTTGTAGGTGAAAAACTTTACCAGAAGAAAGGACGCCAAGGAAGTGACTTTAAAAAAAAGTTACCACCGGATGGTTTTCGAGCAATTGTGAGATGGGGACATAATAAGATTCCAACCGGACAATGGGCTAATAACTTCAGCTCATACCTTGGATGTTTGATACGGATGAGTGATAATGTGAATCCCTATTACGAGGCTTGGGAGCAGCCATTTCATGTCCTGGAGAGTATATATCGAGATTGTTGGGTAAATTCTTATATTTAGCACAATTATTTTTCAATTCTATCAATTGTCCATGCTTAACTATATTTTATTTTTTAGAGATATTTCAACATCGAAGACAATCCCGTAGGGTGGGAATTTTTATTTGGATACCAGGGAAAGTTCAAGCATTCTCTTCGGGAGTGGAGACATGAGATAAAGAAGAAATGCTTTGATTGTTTCACTCACAACTGGGAGAGGATATACAAGCGAGATAAGAGGGTTGAGCCTGAGCACTTAGCTGCACTTATAATATTGTGGGGCCAAGAGGAGCACCAGGTAAATATGTATAGTAGTTAATTATCATCAAGTTATTTATCTGAAACTAGTGATATATTCCATTGTATATTATACCATGCACTAAAATTCTCTTTGTTCATGTTGAAGGAAAAATGTAGAAAGTCAACTAAGAACAATAAATCTAAAGCAAACACAAAAGTAAGTCAAATAACATAGAAACAGACAGAAACATAACAACATAATGAGAAAAGTTGAAAAATCTAAAATATATAACAGTTTAAACAAAACATAATAGCAGGGTATAACAATGGTCAATCAAAACCGAAAAATCTAAAATATATAACAGTTTAAACAAAACATAATAGCAGGGTATAACAATGGTCAATCAAAACAAAAGAAATTTAATTATGAAAAAAATTAAACAAAACATAATAGCAGGGTATAACAATGGTCAATCAAAACAAAAGAAATTTAATTATGAAAAAAACACAATCCATACAAGTTCAACTAAAGATATTAAAAACACAGTGTAAGATATAAAATCAATAAAAACGAGTAAATGAGCGAAAACGAACATCAACAGTATCATATAACAAAATAGAATAATATAATAATGAGTTTAAATTAAAGATAATAGGAAAAGCAATCATAAGGCAATTAGAATAATAATACATACAGAATAAACACAAATAAAAAGGAAACATATTTAATTGATGGAATGATGAAAAGTAGTCTAAAACATAGAAAGATACAAAGACAGTCAAGTATAAATAGCTAAACACAATTATTAAAATAATTATACAATCAAATAATCATGTAAAACAGTATACAACATTTAGCAGATAAATAATTTATTACACAAATATTAGGAATTTATAAATTGTATAAGCACAGCCCCGGTGCGGCGGCCGGACAAGAAAATTAGAAATGCAAATCAATATATATAATTATGTAAAAATACGCAGCAACAAATGCAA